CTTCAAACTGCAGGTTCTACTTGCCATCTTCTTTTCTGAAGCCCAGGCCACCTCTCTGCCTTCAACAGACTTAGCAAACTCTTTTAACTGGGTCTGGTAATTTGGATCATGTATCTTGGCTAGGAGGGCTGAGTTTGGCCACTGGGTGACTTTGGTCCAAGAATGGTTGGGCCCAACGGGTCCTATGTGCCTTCTGTGACAACATCACTGTCCCGAATTCTGGGAGCAGAGGTGACGTGCATCGACCCAGAAGATGAGCATCCAATTGAGGAGGGCCTAGTATTGAAGTGCTTTCATGGTTTCTAAATGCTAATTATTTCCTCTGCCAATTTAGTTTCATGCTTTCCTGAGAGACAGACAACTTCTGAACATTTCCACAGAAAGAGAGTCTCTGGATGAGAATCAGGAGCCAGCGCCTGACTTTGATATCGTGAACTGGGTGCTCTTTCCCAACCATACTAAAGGAAGGGTGACCGTTGGGAGCTTGAAGAGGAACGCGCCAGCTGATGCAGGGCTCTCCATCCTCCCAGAAATCATTGTGTGGCCCTCGCGATTCAATGGGGTAGGGGAATGTGCTTGCTCCAGTCTGTTGACCTCTCCTGCTCACATTGTATAGTGCTAGTTTACGCACAATTGTCTTTCAGTCAGTACCATTCCATAGTCATGGAAGAGACAGTGAAAGGGAGATTGGTAGGGCATTGCCCATCCCCTCATTTTCATTCTTTTTATTGAATAACATAGAATAGAACAGAACCGAGCAGAACAGAACAGAACTATAGATCAATACAAATATAATAATACATCCGAAATAAAGGAAAGAAGAAACACAAATTGCCAAAGAGAGGGAGAGAGAACAAAGAAAATACATAAAACAGCTAGTGCACACCTCAACCAGGATATTTTCTACATTCTAATCATTCATTCATTTCCTTCTTCTATATCTTTCTTCTAAGATACCCGTCACTTTTTTCTATTTGTGTTCAGCGAACAAGCCCCAAAGATCATTAAATTCATTCTAATTTGTCAACTCGCTTTTCACCTTAATTTTCACAGAACAACTCATCATTAGCAGCTATGTTCCAAATTTCTCTGTACTGTTCATTTTACTGGAAATCCCATTTTTCCTTCCAATTATTTGGTAATTGTTTTTTGGTGCATTTAAATTGTGAGATACTGTAAAACCTAATATCTCTCTTTACATCTTTATTGTGGGCAATTCTGCACAATCCAAAGCTTTGAAA